TACATTACCAATTTATCATCCTATGTGAATATAGTCGATGAGCCTTTCCAATGCTTTTGACATCTTCCTTTGTCTTCAATTTAGCTTTATTAATTGTTATCAACAAAACCATGGCCATTTGTGACCACAAAACCATGAACATTTTGAGTCGTCTATACGGATGGATTTGTGGATGGACTATGATGGATACCTTGACGATTTGTGACCACAAAACCATGATCATTTGAGTCGTCTATATGGATGATTCGTTCTTATTTTGTTTACTGATTTCACTCAATGAAAGAAAAGTTTCTCTCTTGGAAAAAATGTCTCGCTAAACAAAACTAAGAGAACACAGACTTGATCATGCCACAACTACTCACCAATCATGACCCAAACCAAATAAGAATCTTAATACCAACAATAACTAGTTTGTGCATCTTGTTCATCACCATTGGGTTCTTCATATGTTGATGTGCATATTTTAGGTTCTAATATGAAGATCATCCTCCAAGCCACTGCCTCTCGTCGTAAGGTCTCATCTGCCCTTGTTGCGGAGGCATTGGCCACTAAATCGGCTCTTTTAACAGCCTTGAACGCTGGATTCCAAAGCATTAACGTGTTGTCGGATTCCCTCTCTCTTGTGACGTTACTCAATACGAACGACGTCGTCAATGAGTTGAAGTCTCTTCTCTATGACATTCGTTGTCTAAGCCTAGACTTCATTTCTATCAGTTATATCTTTATTCCGCGTCTGGCTAATGTTACAGCCGACAGCTTAGCCAAATCTGGCTTTATGTTGTTAAACAATCCCTCCTCTGTTGGAGTTTAAGTTAAAAAAAATGTCGGTTTGTTCAAAAAAAAAAAAAAGTCTCTAAAACCTTTTTTTGTTTTTAAGTAGCTTTAGAACTACAAAATAAATATATTTAAATTGTTTATTCTCTCTCTTCTTTCCCAAGATTGTTCAAAGCTCTTGTTAAATTTATATATAGTATATTACTAAAAAGTTTTAACTGATTAATTTTTTTTTTTCTATTCTTTTGAAATCCATTTTATGTAAATCCATAAACAATCAAAATTTATAAAAATCAATGAATTTTTTTCTTTTTTTGTTATTGGGAGTAATAGTTAGAATTGTAAGAGTGTCGATGTTTTTTTCCAAGCATTTTTATTGGAGAGGTATTTATATGTTGGCTGGTTTTGTTTTCGATTGAACGGGTTTTAGTGAAAAATAGTTGTTATTTATATTATGCACAATGAGAAAAAACTATTTTGTCCCATTTCTTGATGAAGCTTTTGGTTACAAAACCAAAACATCAAGGTAA